TTCGTCATAAAACTAAAATTATGATGAATTTGGCTCCTTTAGTGATGAAATCTATTCGTCATAGAAGTGGATATTTCTAGTAGTGTATTAGCCGCCGAACCACCAAGTGTTGGTCGACACAACGGGGACTAGCGTGCTGGCAAGCACGTGAACCTCGAGAAAAATCTTGGTGTCCATCTTGTGTATGGATTTCTCCCAGTGATTGATTGGCTTCATATTGTGATTGGTTCATTCCTCGACATGGCGGTATAATCACCCTACTCACTTTCTTACATTCCTTGCAAACTAGTTGCCAAGTTCTTTAGTGCAGTTAGTCTTTGAGAGCTTGTTAGTTTGGTTAGTGTGGCTCTTTAGTTAGTCTTTGAGAGCACACTAGCTTAGTGACTAGTGACCTAGCTTATTGTGTGCCTAGTGATCATAGCAACTAGAATTATTGGGTAGGTGGCTTGCAACCCTTATAGAGCTAGAGCAAAATTGCATTATGCCATTTAGTGTACTAATCACTTGCTCTAGTGTATTTGTAGAGAATTTTTATAGGTTATTCACCCCCCTCTAGCCATTTATAACATTTCAATGGCTAGCGCCCGGAATTGTCCGGGCGGTAGCACCCAGACGTGTCTGGACGGTAGCCCCCGTCCAGACGCCCACACCTACACGCCTCGTGCACAAGCTGCTGCACCTGCTCATGCCTGCTGCGTCTGCCCGCCCACCCCGCGCCTGCTGCTGCGCCTACCGGACGTCCATGACTCCGTGCGCTCATTGGTCGAGCCCGCCCCGGCACCTACCCAACGTCCGCGACTCCATGCGCTCATGGGCTGAGCTCAAACTACGACTAGAGATGGAGGGAAGGGAAGGGAAGGGAGGGGAGGGAGAGGAGAGGAAAGGGCGAGGCGCGCCATGCGATGAAGGCGAGAAGTAGGAGGCGAAGCCCTATGGCAGGCCGTCATCCGCCAGCCACCGGCGCCATTGCAGCATGTGCAACACCCGATCTACTTTTACAATATCCATATGAAACATCTACAACATACATATGAAGACAAATGAAACACTTGAAACATGCATGTATAGCCATTTCCAACATGTGCAACACCAAGATCTACTTTTGAAACATCCAGATAAAATATTTGCAACATACATCTGAAGCACCTGAAACACTTAAAACATAGGCTTGCAACATGTGTATTTTGTCATTGCGCAACATATGCAACATCTAGATGAAACACTTGAAACAAAAGTCTAAAAACGTCTGAAACACTAGAAAACATACGCATGCAACATGCATATATTATCATTGCAACATCTCAGATATACTTTTGTAACATCTAGACCAAACACTTGAAACATAGTGTCGGCGGCGGCCACGGCCTACCTGGTGGTGAACTACAGCAGCCAGCAAGCTTGGGTCAAGGAGACGTCGGCCCAGCATACAGTTTTGCTAGCAGGACATCAGCCCATCTCTCCTCATGCGATTGTCCCACGCCTGCTCGCCGCCTAGGCTCGCTCTCGTCGGCACGACTTCTCTAGTGTCGTCGTAGCTCGGCTACAACCGTTCAGCATCATCCGCTTGCTGGAGATGGAGCGCAGTGTGGTGCGGCCAGCGATGGGGTGCGGTGCAGTGGGGGAAGGGCATGGCATGGCGGGGATGGAGGCAAGGCAGGGGAAGGGGGCGCGGTGGGGGCAGAGTGGGGTGGGGCATATGCGCGGTGATGTTACGACACCGACGCGAGTGAGGAGTGGGGAATTTCTAGAGGTGGAAGAGACGTAGAGGTGCTATTGGGCCTAGTACGCTGGGCAGGCCCACACTACTATAGAAAGTCTTATGAGAGGCGTTTGGCAAAAGGGCTCGGAAGCGGGCAGGCATTTTAACCACCTCGATTGATACCTGGGATTAATCGAGGCGGTTATTTTTATTTACCGAGGCGGTCACAATCAACCGCCTCACAAAATTGATTTATGGAGGTGGTTAAAAAATAACCGCCTCCTAAAATGTATTAATGGAGGGAGGCATTATAAGAGGCCCGCCTGGGAAAATAGGGCCATTTTCGGAGGCGGGCCTCTTACGAGCCCGCCTCTTACGGAGCCCGCCTCCGTTAATGTGGCCAAGCCCACTTCAATTTCGAAAAGCCCATCTCGGCCCAATTAATCGCTCCGAGTATATATAGGAGACTTTAGGGTTCACTCACTCATCCTCTCCTCCCTCTCCACACCGAGCGGCGCCTCCCTCTCTCTCACACACACCGGATTCTCTCCCTCTCCCCCAACAACAGCGGCGCCCAAGACTGACCCTCCCGAGTTCCCGGCATCCTCCGCTCGCCATCCCCTCCCCATCCCAACGCCCCTCTCTCCTTCCCCTACCGGCGGCACCCCCTCCCCTTCCCATCCCGATGGCGCCCCCTCCCCATCCCGCCGCCCTCTCCCCTTCCCCTCCCGGCGGCGCCCCCTCCCCATCCCGTCGCCCCTCCCCTCCTCCCTCCGGTGCAAACCCGAGGTGGGGATCTGCTGGAGGCGGTGGCCCTCCTCCCTACGGATCCGAGGCGGGAGATCCGGTGGCTCATGGCAATGGCGGCACGGCCCTCCTCCCTCCGGATCCGGTGGCGGCGCGTCGTCTTTCCCTGAGCAACGGCGGTGGCTGATCCGGCGAGCCCGAGGTGCAGTGGGTTGCTCAGGCGATGGATCCTCGGCCGCGCTTCGGCGGCGGATCTAAGCGGTGGCGTCCTCTCAGCGGCGGATCTAGGCGGTGGCGTCCTCGGCGTGGATCGGTCGGTGGCGCCCCGCCGGATCTCGGCGCAACGACGGCGATGGCGACGGCGATGACGCGCAGATTCGGCTAGCTGCGGCGGCCCGTGGATGGGCTCACTGGGCTTGTCCATGGGTTTTCTTTTTTTTTTTTTATTTGATTTACCAAGGCGGGCATTTTAACCGCCTCGGTTAAGATTTATTTACTGTGGCCTTTCGACCGAGGTGGTTGCGATGCCCGCCTCGGTTAATCGTTTCTGCCCACCTCGGTTAAGTTTTTAGTAGTGCCAGGAAGGCAAGTTTCCTGACAGGACGGACAACCGTGTTCAAGCATTTCCAAAATTTTATCGGTTCGGCATATATCAAATGACACACAATGACACAAGGCAAGGTGAGATGGGGAACAAGAGGGAAGGTACCTAAAAATGAGAAACTGATGCGCTCGCCCGTGGATTTATCAGTTGCCATCACCATGCATTTGCTTGTGTTACAGCAGATTAGGTCGCCTTCGCCGTGGATTTGCTCTTCGCTGAGTCGCGCACCGTAGCAGCTGACGTCGACGTGCTTGTGCGTGTCGTGGATGTCATTTGGAGCCGCCACCGATGCGCCTGCCCATTCGTTGATTTTCGCAGAGCGAGGCATCAACCAGAGAGGAGTCGAGCAGGCCGACATTATTTGTTGTATTATTTCTCGGGCCTCATAGGAAACAGGTTTCTTCCGATGGTTTTGATCCAATCCGGGAGTTAATTTAGTGGGCTAACCATTCATCTAAAGAATATTTTGGAGTGTGGACTGTAAAAAAAATATGGGCATGTAAATTACAACGGTAATGCTACTTATAGGTCGTGCGCCAGGACGGACGAACCCGTATAAATCGCCCGCTCCCTTTGCACCCCCGCCCGGCCGTGTCGCCTGCTCGCTTAGCGCGCTGCGCGCCTCTCCTCCGGGACAGCCCCCGCCCGCTCCTCCGCCGCCCACCCACTTGCGCCTCCTGTGGTAGCCACGCTCTATCCGTCTGCCCCTACCCCAGCCGAGATCCGTGCCGACGACAAGCTCCGTACCGTTGACCTCCGCGCCACTTGCATAGCGTCGAGCTCCACGTCGACGAGCCTTCATTCGTCCAAGCAGCAAGCAAATGCTATGTTGAAAGCGTATGTTGCATTAGTATGTTTCAAGTGTTTCAAATGTTTCAGATATATGTTGCAAGTTTTGTATATCGATGTTGCAAAAGTAGATCGAGATGCTACATATGTTGTAATGACTACATCAAATGTTTCATCTGTTCTAGACTAATGTTGCAAGTGTTTTGTTTGGATGTTGCAACAGTAAATCTGGATGTTGCATTTACATGGATGTTACAAACATATGTTTCAAGTGTTTTCATGTGTTTCGTACGTATGTTTGCAAGTGTTTCATCTAGATGTTGCATATGTTTGCAATGGTTTTCAAAAAAAATAGACGTTTTCACAAGTGTTTCAAACGCTTGTTTCAAGTGTTTCATTTGTCTTCTTTTTTGTCTGGAAGTTTTAAAAGTGGATCGGGTGTTACACATGGAATACACGTAGGAAGCGGCTGGCAGCACGAACAACGTTGGGGGCGACATGGGCAACGTTCGAGGCAGTGCGGGCCCATTGCTAGTGTGCTCCCTCGCGAGCACGATGCGCTATGCGCTCATTTGCTCCCTCTGCGGGGCACTGTACGAACGACGTCGAGAGCAAGTCCGAATTTACAATGGTTTTGCCCCTAAAACCATGTTTCCAAACTGGGACTACAAGAGAAATCCCGGCTGATCTTGATGAGATCATTTTTGGAGGGATTTGGGAGGAAGTTGAAACTTGAGCAGGGAGGTAAAAAAATAAACTAATTTTTTCATGCAATTTTTTTTTAAAAAAAAACTACTTTTTGCTTGCAATCTACGATGGATTTTTTTTTAGCACTGGCAATCTACGACGAATTGGGCGGGACTTTTTCAGTGCGGAAGGAAACAATCTGAATGGGCCAGGCCCACCAAAGCGGCACAGCCCAACTCTCTCGCAGCCAATCCCCTCCGCTCCGCCGCCCGCACCCAATCCCCTTCCCTCCCCTTCCGCCACTCGCCAGCAGCGCAGCCACGCCCTCCGGCGCTCTTCCTCTGCGCCCCGGTCCTCGCCCACACCCGCTTCCGGCGGCCACGCCCTCCGCTTCTCCGTACTTGCTGCTCGCCGCGCCCACCACCCTCATTCTCCGCCAGCGATTGTAATCTGTGCGGGGCACACTCGCCGACGATGGCTCTAACCCTCCTCCGAGGGATGAGGACGCCAGTCTCGTCCAGCTCAAACCCCGGCCTCTTCTTCACTGTTCTACGGCCTCGGTTGTCCCGCTTCACGGCTAGGGCGGAGAGTGCACAGGCCACCGAGCCCAAAGCGGCGCCCAGCAGGTCAATTCAGCTGGCGACCAAGGAGGCGGCTGAGCAGAAGACACAGGGCTTCGAAGCCGTCATCGGGATTGAGACCCATGTCCAGCTCTCGACCGTCACCAAGGCGTTCTGCTCCTGCCCGTACAACTACGGTGCCCAACCCAACAGCACCGTCTGCCCCACCTGCATGGGCCACCCGGGGACGCTGCCGGTTCTCAATGAGAAAGGTGGTTGAGTGCGCCGTGAAGCTGGGTCTCGCCCTCAACTGCGAGATCTCGATGACGTCCAAGTTTGATCGCAAGCAGTATTTCTACCCGGACCTCCCCAAGGGGTACCAGATTTCGCAGTTTGACATCCCCATTGCCAAGAAGGGTTATGTCGATTTGGACCTTCCGGTGGAGTTTGGTGGTGGGCATAGGAAGTTTGGGATCACAAGGGTTCACATGGAAGAAGATGCAGGCAAGCTGCTTCATTCTGAATCCAGCAGTTACTCTCAGGTTTTCCTTGTCTCTGACTAATTGCCTAATTTCTGTTAGGAACATTCTGATCAGCTTGTCATATCCGTCTGGCATAACAACTTTGAAACCACAACATCAGTTTTGACATTTACCACAGTGCATTAGAAAACTTATAGATTAGTGAATAAAACCATAGAAAAATATTGAAGATTGGATATCAGGGAGCATTTGGATCTCAGGCCAGGGGAATTCTAGCTTTATTGTGAATGGATTGGAGTTTTGTAGGATAAGAAAGACTTGGATTTTGGGGCAATCTAATCTGCAACCGCCAGCAAAAGCTTGCTCTGTGAAGGGAGCGAAGTTGGTTTGCCACCGAAATAAAAGTAAACACTGCAGTGAAAAAAAAATATCTGACAACTGCTATCATAATGTGGCCAAACAATAATCCTTGCTTTTGCTGGTTGTAGAACAGATGGATTAGCTGTGTATAGCCTCAACAGTCCCATCTTCCTGGTGACAGTAACTATTTCAAAATTTTAATCCTCTGGCTATAAATGCATGCAGTAGGCTCACACAAAAAATTACGATTTGTGTAAGTATGATATATGGAACGCCGTACAATGATACAGATAGTAAACCATAAGCACTGCTCTAATATTGACAGGGAAAATCCAGAGGGAATGAAAAGAATTACTCAGCGTCTCATCACTTAAAGTACAGCAACTTCAGTTATTGATCAGTGGTTGCTACTTTGGCTGGCTAGGTTGACCTAAACAGGGCTGGTGTACCTTTGCTTGAAATTGTCTCAGAGCCAGACATGAGAACAGGGATAGAGGCTGCTGAGTATGGTGCTGAGCTGCAAAGGATCGTTAGGTACCTGGGAGTGAGTAATGGTAACATGCAAGAAGGTTCCCTTCGTTGTGATGTGAATGTTTCTGTTCGACCAGTTGGGCAATCAGAATTTGGTACAAAGGTGATCCTCATATCTTTAGGACTTCCCTAACTGATTGTTATTCTGTGTTTTTCTGTTGGCAACTTTTGCTCCCAGTGTTATGATTTGATGATTGAAGGGCAGGCCTGGTGCAGTGGTGAGAGCTGTCTCACTGAGTCACTAGGTCGTGGGTTCGAAGCAGCCTCTCCGCAGATTTTGCGGGGGAAAGGCTTGTCTCGGTTTATCCCTTCCCCAGACCCCACTCATGTGGGAGCCTCCGGCACTGGGTCTCCTATTATGATTTGATGATTCATCGGTTAACCAACTTATTACAGCCCAAATAAATAACCTTTGTTCAGTGAGGGCTAAATTATCATGAAAATTTTACCATGCTTTAAATGATGCCTTGAATATTCAACCCGTGTGGGGGCTTGGGGGATCATGGTTTATGCTTGTTATATTTGATAGTATACATAATTGCAGTTGCTTATGTAGCCATTTGGTAAAAATCCATGTAGCTAAATTGCTTGTTATGCCCAGAAACATGCATAATTGCAGTTCATTGGTTTCTTGCCTGCTTAGTTATTCATGGCACATTAAGGGAAAATAAGTTAGATCATCTTCAATTGCTTATCCACCATTATTTTCTAGAAATAGCATCACACTCTTCTTTCAATTCCTTCAGGTGGAAATAAAGAATATGAACTCATTTTCTGCGATAAATAGGGCAATCGATTATGAGATTTCCCGGCAGATTCTGCTCCATAAAGAAGGCCAGGCTGATCAAATTGTACAAGAAACCCGTCTGTGGGATGAATCTTCTCAGGTGTTGTCCCCAACTCTAACCCTCTTTTGTGCTGGCTTTTTACTTCCAAGTACTAATTATTTTCTCTATCTATATCATCAGAAAACTTTTACAATGCGAAAAAAGGAGGGACTTGCTGACTACAGATATTTTCCAGAACCTGATCTTCCTGAAGTAGTTCTCACTAGTGACTATATTAATGAAATCAGCAAGTCAATGCCAGAGCTTCCAGAAGCAAAGCGTAGGCGTTATGAGAATATGGGACTCAGTATGCAAGATGTTCTGTTCCTTGCTAATGATGATACTGTAAGATTCCATCTTCTGTGTTGGTGTAGGTTCACATGCATGTGTGTCCACTGATTATTTAGAAGTTCCTCATTCATGGTCTGATCTTTAACTGGCTGTACAATTGTAAAATTCCATTTCATCAGGCTTGGTAGTGGTTCACATATTTGCCAGGGATCCCTTATTGTAGTACATAGGACTTGTTTTTTTGCTGGACAAGGCGATACATTCTCTCTATTGCTCACAATAACTTCAGTAATCTGATGGGTCTATATCTTCCCAGATTGGTCATTTCTTTGATTCTACTCTTGAGCATGGTGCTGACGCAAAGCTGGCTGCCAACTGGATCATGGGTGACATTGCTGCTTATCTCAAAGATGAAAAAGTCTCCATTGATGAAATTAAATTAACACCTCTAGAGCTTTCTGAACTGATAGCATCCATTAAGAATGGAACTATAAGTGGGAAGATCGGCAAGGAGGTAACATTGCTAAACTGGGCTTTCCCTCTTGTTACTGTTTTTTGGCTCTATGTTTTGGCATAGTCTATAAGTTCTACACATTTCTAGGCTTTGCACCCTCATCGATGATAATGCCTCTCTAAATCTGTCCTTGCAGATACTGGCCGAGCTCATTGCCAAAGGTGGAACAGTTAAGGGTGTGATAGAAGAGAAAGATTTGGTTCAGGTAACCGTGCTCACATTTGTTACTATTTGGAACCATAGTAGTTCAAGCATCTAAAAAAACATTGTGATCCCTGCCACCAGTGTGAAGTGTTCCACAAATACATTTAACGTCCTTTGGCATTGCTAATGCATGTTTTTTCCTTTGGGTATTCCTGTTAACGCAGATGCTCAAAAATTGGGATAATATTGACATGCCCTCTTGATTTCATCGGTGTTTGTAGTTTGTAATTTGCATCTTATACTTTCATGAGTACTCGAGGCATTGTTGTGCTCTCAGTTGATGCAATTTCATTATTTAAACCTCTGGTTGGGTTGTCTGAAAGGCAAAAAATTATTACTTGAAATGACAGATAGCAGATCCAGCAGCAATCGAGGTAATGGTAGATAAAGTAATTGCTGATAATCCAAAGCAACTTGAGCAGTACCGTGCTGGAAAAACTAAGCTACAAGGATTTTTTGCTGGCCAGGTTTGTCAATTGAACACCAACACTGTTTGTCCCTGCAGCTACGAGGTCTTATGGGTGATCACATTTGCTTCAATTGTTTCTAGGTGATGAAAGCATCGAAGGGCAAGGCCAACCCAGTTCTGTTGAATAAAATCCTTGGAGAGAAACTGAATGCCAATTAGTTATTTTTCCCCATACTGAAAATCTCAATGAGTCCATGAAGAATGCAACCTCAAATGAAGTCCCTGAACCATATTGTTGGCTAGGCAATCGTTTGGCAGTTGTTACCTTCAGTCCATTGAGTTCCATTGAGTTGAGAATGTGAATAATGTAGAAGTTTTGTTCACAATATGGATATCATTGTACTTAGCTGATACATTGAAATGGCGTGTTGATTATATTTTATGCAATAACTTACCCCAATCATGTGTGCAATTTCTGCGTATTTTGTACTACTGCGTTTACAGTCTGCACTGCTGTATATATTTTTCTCTGCAACATACAATATTTACAACAATTTTCGTTGAACCAAAAAAATATTGAACAGCAGCATTATACTAGCAGCTGACCGCACCATAAAGCAACAAAAACCTGCGGAGAGAATCATAGGAATGCTCAAATACTAGGTTGAATAAAGGCAAAATACTTAAAATGGCCAATCCCTGCTCAAATATACTGGGTTAAATATGACAAAACGCTTAGACAGTCAATCATGTCATGTAAATAAAAAGCAACTACCAAGCAATTATTGGAAAAACAAGTTACACAGGACTACATAACCGCATAACAACAATCACAGCTAAGCTGCGGCAACTATTTCAAACTATATTTACATTTTACAACACCAGAACAGTCCTGTTAGTGCATACAATGAGAGGATGGCCCTGACTAATCCTCATTGTCGTAGTCCTCGTCATCAACCTGCACTGTCAGATGTCCAAAACCAGATGGCCCGATACCGATGTTTCCAATGGCATCTGGCATAGGCCAATCTGACTGATGATCGGTGTTTGCTTCTTCCACCTTAGAACTTGTAGCTTGAGCAGGGGCTGTTGGCGGAACCTCTACTGGAGGTTGCGTGCTTTGAGGCATGATCTCGTTGCCATTGTTGATCTCTTGAACTGTTTCCTCTCCTGGTAAGGGCTCACCTTGTTCAGCAAACATGCTGCTCTCATCTTCAAATTGTACATAACCAACTTCCTTTCTCTTGGTTGGTGGCCGACCTCGCCCTCTGCCTCGGCCCCTCCCACGTCCTCTGGGGCTGATGTTTGCATTTCTTATGGCCTGAAAAACCAGGGGTTCTATTATCAAATATCCATTTATATAACGTTATCAATTAGGTGAGCTGTGATGGCTGATGTACGCACTATTTTACTGGATCTTGATTCATCATTCTCTGGGTCACTGCCATTTGACTTTCTGAAAAGTCAATTTCAAACACTGTTAGGTACTTGATACAATTGAATCATAAATGCTGATTACAACAACTGAACTTACCTTCTTCTAGGTAATCCTCTTTCATCTCCACAGGAATCAGCGCCACCAAGATCTGGTACCTTGTTGACAACTTCAGTTAGGAAATCAAAAGAACTATACCTCTTCACACATTGCTTCCTGAACATCAGATGTCAGAAGATAGATATATGAATGTTAATATTAATGGCTCGAAATTGATACTCCATGCAAACAATACTAAGATACATGCATTGAAACTATCAGCTAGCATTTTAACAAGAAAAAAATTTGGTCCATCGAAATTAACCTCAATACAACAACTCGCATTTAAATATGAAACTTAACTCCAAACAAACTAGACAAGCTATGTATGCTAGATCTACATGAGCAGGATGGGATAACTATCTGCCCAGTTTCAGTTTCGAGGATATATAACCTCTACAAATCTCTTATTTAGAAATGTTCATGAGCTCAAATTCCACACTAAAGTCGCTTACAGTGGAAAGAAAAATACCAACTTCCAAAATTGGTTACCAAAACCAACCTGCTTCCATATTTGAATTCAGATCTTACGGGGGTGTTCGGTTGGCTCCTGGCCGAAGCTGCCTGGCTCAGGCAGCGCTCCCAGGCTTCCGATTTCGGGAGCCTAGGACTCAGATCACTGCCTGGCCAGTGAGCTGTCTAGCAGGCATTGAACCAAACATGCCCCAGAAGATTATTTTGAAGTTGAGACTTCTGCCGAAAGCGATCTGTTCATCACTTCCTCCAGAGGTGATGCAAAAACATTTGATGAGTCTAGCTCGAGTGCCTTATTAACTTATATAGTACAAATTAGCTGGCCATAGTCAGGGACCGAACAGTTCTGAATCCCACCTACAGATATTATGAATGTTAACTTAGATAACATCTAACCTTTTAACTAGTAAACCTTATACCAAGGAATCTACAACCAAAAGCCATATGCAGTGGAATGGAATATGCAGTAGTTATATGAGGCATATGAATTCTGTTTCTGGACAACTTATCTTGATGTCATAAGCAACACAAACAAGATGAATTCTGGAACAAGTGGAAAATAGGTGATGCATAAGACCTTTTTTTAGAGGTCTTATGTGGGCCGCTTCTGCAGCTAAGATGGGGTTTAGGTGGAAAATAGGTGATGGGAAGAAGGTCAAGTTTTGGGAAGATAACTGGTTATGTTCCACTAGCTTAGCTATTCAATATTGGGATGTGTATGTTTTAGTACAGGAACAAGCTGGGACTGTAGCTGAGCTTTGGGATGGTGTAGACTTGAAGTGTACCTTTAGAAGAGGTTTCAATCAGAGATTGTATAACATGTGGTTAGAAATTGTACCGTTGGCTTCAACCATCTCTTTTACTGAGGATGAAGATACTTTAATTTGGCAATTTAACTCATCTGACATTTACTCTTCACAATCTCTATATAGAGTAATTAATTTTAGAGGCACAACACCAGTTCATGTTCCAGCAGTGTGGAATCTCAAAGTTCCACCTAGAGTTCAGTTCTTTCTTTGGCTGTTATCTAAAAATAAGACTTTGACTCGTGATAATCTGAGTATAAGAAAGAAATTAGATGATATGACATGCCTTTTCTGTTCTGAAAATGAATCAGTGCAGCACCTTTTCTTTGAGTGTGCTGTAGCTAAGCAGATGTGGATTTATTTCTCTGAAGTATGTGATAGAAATGTAGGACAGGGTTTCCTGTCTATTGGACAGTTGTGGTTAAGTAATAAAAAAAATTTAGTATGCAATTCCTTTTGTGCTGCAGCCCTGTGGGGGCTTTGGAAGCTAAGGAATGGCATTTGTTTTCAGGGACAGTCTTGGGTGGATTTGAGGCTCCTGCTTTTGAGAATTGCAGCTATGCTGCAGACATGGGTTGTCCTATGTCCCCAGGAGAAAAAACAAGAGTTCCAGCTGAGATTGAAGAAGTTGAAGAACATTGCTACAAATCCAACAAGAATCTGTGGCTGAGCAAAGTAAGTGACAAAGGAGATGCCCTGATGTTCCAGCTGGCGCATAACTGGGATGATCAGCCTGTACCTGAGGAAGTGAAGAGGAAGCTTTCAGAAAGTACTAAGGCAAGTGATGGGAAGAAGGAGAGAGCCTGGATGAAGCTGGTCGACTTTGAAACGCTGAAGAAGTGATGAGGAATCGTTTAAAGCTTGCTGTTTTTGAAAGAGTTTTGCATCAGTTTTAGTTAGCTAACCTTTTATGCTTCGTTGAGGTTTCTGTCGTAAACTTGAGGGTGTTTCACTAAGACTGTATGGACAGGTGTATCCCACCTGAATGCTGTAAAAACCTGATGTCTTTGCTAATGCTAAGACAGGGGCATCGCCCTATAATTCTAAAAAAAAAATGAATTCTGGATAAGATCCTATTTGGGGCAGGGAGGGGGGAGATCCCAGCTCCTCTGTCACCCCAAAAAACTTTTAACAAAATTCACGTCGAAAAATGATGGGACATATAAACATCACAGTTCACAGCTGATATTGTACACCAAAGTTCAAACATTGAAACATAGCAATTGCGAATTGGAAGCATCCAGATTACCCTCACTAGACATGCTAAATAAAGTCAGTGTATTTAATTAGGCTAGTAGCTGAAATTCATCAAAGAGATCCATTTATTTTAAAAGATGCATTACATCACCTCATAATTTTTATTTTATAAAAAAACAAAATGTCAGGTGACATTGAACTCACAGGTGGAAGGAATTCAGTGTCTTTGCTCCACTTTGAAGAGTAATTTCATAAGTCCGGTCAATTAAATCTTGTAAAAATAATTCAAGAGCCCTCGCTGCATGCAAATGGAAACTCAAAATGTCAGAAATTTCATTTATGTATGCTTCATCATGGTTACATGTAATAGTAGCAGGATATAGAGAACCGTGAATGAAAGTAATGATGCCCACAAAGAAAAACTGAAAATGTTGACCAAACAAACTTCTAAAAATTTACAAGGTCAATCTCTCTTTTGTATCATTAGTGTGGACTTGAAACCAGTAAACCAGTTTGCAAAGAAAGCCATTAGCCAGTCAACCAGATGAATGGATGCCAAACGATGTGATAAAGATCATCCCTTTTTGCTTGTTTTATTTAAGTAGATATACTAGATTATTGTGGGAAAACACAGATATGTACATAATACATACAAAAGCACAACGATTCTTGCGGAACTTACAGACTAAAACAGGCACCGCTAGTGCAATCTTTCCAACATCCTCATCTGCTTGCATTATCTTTTTGATTCGAGCCTATTATAATAGAGAACATAGTTAGGGGACAACTTCATGCCATTATATACAACTTATATATTTGAAAAATTATCTACGAAACACATCCCACAACCAAATACAAAACCCAAAACTTGAGTAATCAGTACAGACATCAAAGGAGTTGTTAAAACCGTGTTATTCAATTTCATGAAAAATAGAGCAAACGCTAGAATCCAGAAATGATCTCTTCAGCTAAATACAACAAAATATGCGCCTGCAGTGCAAACCATACTGGTGTGTGTGTGTAGCTTGGAACTTCAACTCTCGTTGGTTCCATGACAACAGAACAACAAGAGGCTTTGAAGATTCAAAACCAACCTGAAGGCATACAATAAATGCTGAGATCCACAAACAGCTCTGCTTAACAAATGGTGGCATGTTCAGATGGAATAATCAAGAATGGTGGCAGGGAACCTGAGCCTACAGCATTAC